CTGGCTCTAAGAACGTGCCACTGGCCAGGACCCAGGAGAAGAACAACAGGGCCTTTCAGTGCTTCTAGCTCTTTCCAGCTTGGGTCTTGTCTCATGTGTGCCACCGTCCTAGATAAGCGTGACGAGGGGATGCCTGGCGTCTCCGTCCTGCCCGCCTTGGCTCTAGGCCAGACGGGCTTGCAGAATGGAATGCATACAGAGGCCCTCTCCACGGCAGCCGCCCGGGTTATGCCCACAACGCCCTCCCCCTGCTGCAGCTGAGCCCCCAACCTGTGAAGCGTCTGCCTCCTCATGAGACCCTCAGGCGAGTGGGCACCTGAGCGGGGCTCCAGGCGGTCAGCTGGACCCTGCCTCTGGGACGGGTGCAGAAGGGAGCCAGGCTGCATGGTCCTGGCTGGAGTGCGTCACTGCACACACCCCAACCAGCCCCACGGAGGCCTCCTGGAAAGGATCGGCGTTCCCCGAGATGCAGAGTGGCAGCCAGGACCAAAGGCTAGCCGGAGTGGGTCCCAGTCCAGGCCCTGTATCTCCAGGGTGGCCGACCCTCTCTGAGCCTCTGTGTCCTTGTTGTGGATGGAGTGGCCCTGGCCCTGGCTTGAGAGACAAGGAGCTGAAGGGGACATAACCAGTGGGACAGACACCAGGTCCTGTGGCAAGCCAGACAGAGGATCCTGACACTGACCTCCTGGGCATGGGGGTGGGTGGTCAGGGGGCGAGGCAGACAGGGGGCCTCCCTACCAATAACTGAGCCGTGCCCAAACCCAAACCCAATTCGCTGCCCTCAAGTTCATGCAGGCTCGTAGCAACCCTGTAGGACACGGCAGACCTGCCCCCGTGGGTTTCTGAGACGGTCACTCTTTGCTGGAGTAGAAATCCCTGTCTTTCTCCTGAGGAGTGGCTGGTGGTTTTGAACCTCAGACCTTGCCGATTGCAGCTGAATGGATAACTATTACACCGCCCACTAGTATGAGCCTCACAAAAGCCCCAGGCAGCTGACACTCTCCCATTTCAGAGATGGGAAAACAGAGGCACAGGGCTGTAAAAGTTGCATCCCGACAGTGATGGGTCTGGAGCTGGGCAAACCCACTAGCTAGAGTGGTGCCTGCTCTAGGCTGCAGTCACTGGGATGGCGGTCTGGTTTGCTGGTCCCAGAGCTGCTCCCCTCCCTCATCCAGGAGTAAGGCCAACCCCAGGGTTTTAAGTCTGCCTCTACTTCCTCTGTTAGGTGACACAGGTGAGTAACATCAGAGTACCTGGCACAGGGGCTTCTCCACCAAGCCCCTTCCACCCTAGGGCTACCATTTCTGAATCCTCACCCAACGGCCCAAGTTCAGGAGAGAAATCAATGGTCTCTCCTTTCTGAAGTGCCAAGAGGAGGCCCAAAGAGGGCAGAGGCCTCTGGTTTTTGTCGGCAGGGCTCGGGGATCTCATACTGGGGTGGCCACAAGGCTGGGGCAGAGAGGGGACTGGAGATGGGACAGTAGAATCACAGGGGCCCCACAGTATGCTCAAGGGTCCCGGGTTGCAGTCTATGCAAAGCACACAGGAGGCTCACACCTGGGTGGAGATGTGGAGACAGACAGACAGACACACACACATGCACACACCTCCACACACAAAGCTTCCCAGTATGGCCCGCACAGTCCTCGCTGCTTCCAAGCAAGATGCTCCAGGTGGCGAGGAGCAGACAGGGCCCAAGAGGCCAACCAGGGTCTGACCACAATTCCAGCATCAGGTAGGCGGGGATGACCCCCATGGTGCTCAGAGCAGGTGAAAGGGCATGTAGAGCACCAAGCAGAGTACGTGGCACCCAGTCAGGCACTGGCATGCTACCTCTGTGTAGAGTCCCACAAGGCTCTGGCAACCTAGAGTGTGGAAGTAGATACAAAGCAGGGCCTAGGCATTGAAGAGAAGCCAGGCCCAGCCCAGCCCAGCGGCCAAGGGCCTCAGGGGTTTCAATGTCCCAGACAGGGCTCAGGGACACCCAGGAAGGCCTGAGCCACCAGCCTGTCCCCACTGAGTCTAATGTCACAAGGTGGAAGACATGGCAGGGGCCAGAGCTCTGGCTAAGGAGTTGAGATGAAGCAGGAGGAAGGGTGGAGACCAACCGACTTCGAGGGGGAGGCTGAATCAGGAGCTGGCTGCACTCAGCAGGCCACTGGGCCTGGTTGGTCAGGGGGAAAGGGACGGGGAGGCAAGCTGAGGGGGCCAAGCCCAGTGGCAGGCCTCCAGTCCTCGCCTCTCAGGCACACCCATCTGGACCGTCCCCACTGACCGTTAGGAAGGTGCTCTGGCTGCCAGGTCGTGGGGCAAGGGAGCTAGAGCGTTAAGATGAGCTTGCAGGGTGGGGTGGGACAGCTGGGCAGGCTCTTTCACATACCAGGAAGAAGGAGCCTGTCACACCTGAGCCAGGATGAGTCAGACAGCTGATTCACACCTTCCTTCTGGGTCTGCCCCCCTTACCCAGCTGATAGGCCAGCACGAAGTACAGCCCCATGGGCCCCTGGGACCACCCTGACCCGCAGGGAGCACAGGGGCAAAGGCAGGTCTCTAGGGAACTTTCATAGGATTTCTGTGTGTTGTGTGTGTGTGTGTGCATATGTGCCCTCCCCCTT